GCGAATCACACAGCCTTATTCGATCGCCCGATTCAACAGTGTAGGCACCAAACCTTAGTAAATTAGGTCTTCATTTACGAGACCTTAAGCATGATTTTGAGTTCCTTCAACTGAGCTTGTTTTAACGCATTACCATCCAATGTGGTCAAAGCATCTTTTATGTGTATTTCGCATTTTATCAAGATGGTATCAGTGAATAATTTTGCGCTTAAGTGAAATGCATGACTCCCTTAGGGCCTCTCAATGTGTATAACGCAAAATCAGCTCACAATCACTCTTACAGAAGGTGGGTGAATTGATGAATTGGAAAATGGTTTCCTTGAGAATCACAATCTCAACAATAACACTACGAATGAATTGGTAGCAAGGGTGTTTGCATAATGAAATTTTAATTAGCTGTCGGCCTTTTTCATCTTGAGCATAAAAGCATAATACTCCAAACGATTTCCTCATCTCGTAGTAAGGAAGGAGAAATGATAAGTACGCTTTGGCACGCTTTAAGTCCCGAAGTAAAATTTTCTACTTTATTTATTCGATGGCATTTGGTACCGAATGCACATATTTTAAAATAAAGGACAGATTTGGCTTCGCGTCCTGATGTCACCTTCGTGCTAAACACGTCTTCAGCACTCTGAAGATTATAAAGAAAGCATTTTTGAAAACAATTCGAACTTTGAACGAAATATCCTTTATTTGTAAAGAATAAAGGTCCCACGAACAACGTTCATAACTATGAGAGCAGAAAATTGCGTCGCATTTCAATGTAGAAAAACTGTGCCTGATTGATGCTGGTCAAATTGTAATTGGTTCACCAATCTTAACTGAAGCTCCCCATATCAGGACATTCAGTCAAGTGCTGCGCAGTAAGTAGTCTTAAATAATATGATGTTATTTATCTGAAGTTTTAAGCTAATTAAAGTAATGTGGAGTTTTTTGCCTCAAGTCGTACCAAATAGGGGTCATTATAAAATGTGTTTCTCCAATTATAGTGGTTCGACAGCTTCATGAGAAATTTTAATGCTAGGAAATATTTAAGGGGACTTCAAACACACCTCAAAGTTGTAGTGATAATGCTCAAATGTTGGCGGATTGTCGTTCACATCTTCGATGAAGACAGTGACCAACGCTGAGCTGGATCTTCTTTCTGGAACACCGTCGTCAGTGGCAACTACGTAGAAGATGTACTTATGTTCACCCGGAACGTCCTCCTCGGCATCTAATGCTGACACCGTCCAGAGTCTACCAGAACGCGGATCGATGCGAAAGTGGCTTACATCGGAGATGTCACGAGTGCTAGTGTTCAGTGAGCGTCCTTTGCTCGCCCTCTCCGGTGCCTCTGCCAAGGAGAAGGTGATGAGGGCGTTGCGTCCCACGTCAGAATCGGTCACGCGAAGTGCTGAAGAGGGCGAGAGGTGTGTTACTGGTGCGTTGGCTTCATTTTCTCTGACGTGGCCCTGATAAGACGGGTGTTCGAACCTCGGTGTCTCGTCGTTGATGTCGCTAACGCTGACTTGAAGACTGGCATTGCGGGTGAGGGGTTTGGCTGAATCGTTGTCTGTACACATTACTGTAACCTACAATCAGCAGGATGGCTTGTCCAAACACGCAAGCTTTCACCTTCCTTCTTCTCGTCCCATCACAAAGTCCCGATTTTTGATCGTCCACTACTAATATTTTTGAAATTTTCAAATTAGTACTTTGCGCTCTTGTAGGAGTTCAAAGCAAACAACTATAATCCACTATCACTGATCTATGAATTAACGTCCTTTAGCCAGTGATGGACCGATTATCAAAAAGTTTGATTATCTAGAAAGTTTTAGGGATTAAAGGGGATCTCGTTTGTTTCATTTGGTAAGTACAATAACTAGGATGCTAGCTACTTCGTACAAAATACATGGCATAAGTGACTGAGGAAGGCATTAGGGTTTGATTCCCCTCAAAAAACGGTTACATGCAAAGCTGTGTGAATGATATAAGTTTCAATTATCCGAATTGAAGAGGATAAATCGAAATGATGAATGCAGCAAGTTGCAGCAGCGACTTTGTCAACGCAATTAGGAGATGCTTTTTCGCCTATGACATGAATTACAGTGGTGTTATAAATTATTCACCACAAAATCCCGGATAGCATTTTCCACGAAACTGCCCGCGTGTGTAGTTGTGTCGGGGAGGAGGCGGAAACAAAGAGTCGAAAGTCCTAGTGCTTCCATATGGCAATTCTTTAATTTGCTAGAAATCAAAAATTTGCTCTAGGTTTTTGAAACATTGTCCTGATTTAAGCAACATTTTATCAGAAACTTTTTACCACTGTACTAAAAAAACGAAAATTCACGGAAAATAGGTAGTTCAGCAAACCGTCTTGCCTTCCAGCACACATACGTGGGAAAAAATTTAGTATAAAAAAGAAATATTTTAAGGCACATAAACAGAGTCTTGCCACTGAGTCTCGTTGTCAGATACTGCGAGTAGAGGAAATTGAGGTTATAGCAAGTTTCAGATAATCAGCTGCAGAGAACAAATGAAGCTAGTTCAACGGCGAAAAATTCTGTTTACCATAAACAGTGATATTGCCAGCTATTAAAATTAAGAAAATGCAGATTAAGTAGGTCAAATGAGACTGTTTAAGTTGCGAATCCGATTACGATATGCAAAAATTTATTTCAAAAGTGTAAGGTAGTTTCAATTTTTCTGGCAATGGATTGGTTTTTGCATTCGGGCCTATTCTTTCGTAAATTAATAGTAGACATGGACTCTCTCTTCGGCCATCAGATAGCCTGATAAAAAAGTATCAACTGTGATTCAAAAGGTGTTGCCATTCCCCTATGACAGGTCATCGCTCCTAATAATGCATGTCAAATTGCACGGATCTTGCCAATGCCAAGCCTAAAGCGATAACACAGGAGAGAGTAGATATTATCCATAAGGCTATGCTTAAATGAAGGGTGTCACGGGCAATCTACACAACTTAACAATGTCCATACTTTGACAGCAGAGCTGTTTTAGCCCAACGTAAGGGAGGGCTGCAGGTCGCTTCCTAATCATCAAATCAAACATTTGGATTTCTGTCTTCAAAAATCCCTGAAAATGCATTTTGGAGGACAATCAAAAAACGTTTTACTGGTAGTGTAACCCGCACTTGTATGCGGATGATTGGGAAGGCAAATTGAGCAAAATATTTTCCCAGTGGATCCGAGTAAGTCCTGTACAGAAAGTAACAAATGTACACCTTTTTGTTGGGAAAATTGTTCAAATATCTCCTTGTTTTTACTATGACACGAACCATGAGATTTTGCCATTCTATTTGAATAAGAGCGGACTCAACAACTTCGTATAGACAGCCTCCATTTGTATTGTCATTAGAATTCAGGTCCACGAGGACAGGATTAATCACCGCGACGACTGCTTGTGCTGTGCACATCCTCTTCCTCACACCCTCAACTCTCAACTTGAAAAAGAGGGAGGGACAGGGAAGGGGAGGAGGAGGAAGAGGAAGGGAGAGATACCGACTTTTTATTTCTCTGCTTTCTCACACATTTGCAGTGGAGATGGTGGAGAAGCAGAAATTAATCGGCGATGTTCCAAATCCAACCATAGGCAAAGGAGGAGACTGGTTCTGATGTAGGCAAAGTGAAAGAATTCCAGTTTTAGCATGATAGTCACAGTCTTTTATGGAATGGCGTTTTATCGCTGATCCAGTCTCCTTTGTCACGACAAAGGAATTTCACTCTGCAGCAATCGCAATATTTAATAAAACTGTGTTAACATATAATTCCCACTGGATCAAAAATATTGTTTAAAGTACACAAAAGGTGCCTCAAAAACGTGCTTCAAAGTTAAGTAACACCGATAGAATCAAACTATTGCTATGAGCTTAGTAAGTTCATAAAGGGCAAACGTAAGTTAAGGCATCTATTTTACGCGATAAAGTCACTTGAAAGCAAGTTATCAAAAAATTTCCTCACCAATAACATACACAGCCTAAAATCTTAGAAAGGTACGCAAGTACTTTGATTCATGAAATGCAATGGCGCAGCTAATCCTTCAAGTACCGTGGATTTATGCATGATCAATCGCTTTGATATCCACACCTACAAGTGGTAGAGCTCGACTTTTGAACAGATTGAGGCATGAGGATTAAAACGTGCGGAGCATAGCCACCAAGTATTCTCAAAAGCGGCCGCTGAACTGTCCCTCTAAGTGTCCTGTTGAGGCCACTTCATGGCTGGACGAATTCTTAAAATTAAATCACAAACGTGGTTTTCCTGTGATTATAGGCTTTCCATCAACCCTTCTTCTGTCAATGAAAAGCTTGCCTGTCATCTTTCACTTTTATGATGTTAGAATTTTTGCAAATGCCTCTTTTTTGCAATGGGATAATGAAAGCATTTGTGGCCGTAATGCGTGCTCAACCTTTATGCAAAGTATCTGGTCATTTCATAATAAGTCTCAATCATTTTGTGACTCAGAAAGATCCATTTGGACTACCATAAACTGACCATCTTTAGCTAGCATAGGCTTTATTCCACTAAAAATTCAAACAATTCAAAATAATTAGCAACCACTCTCACATGACAAAATATCAACATTCTTTAGCATTGTTGTTTAGAATGGAATGCTAAAAATCTTCACATTCTTAACATGTCTGCGAACTAAAGGCGACCGCGAAAGGTCTCGAGTATTCACTAGTAAGACCAGGCCGTTTTCATAAATTTTTCTACTCCAGGAGTTGACCCATTCTTTCACACAGAAAAGCTCATATTTTACGAATGCATACACTGAAGTCGGAATGTTCATTGTTTTTCCAACCTTCGACTACAAAAAGCTCGCACCTCTTGCTTTTATCTCTCCTTCCTCTAGCCCTAAGCACCAGGCGGAAGCGATTTTGCACGTGCAATGCTGTATCCATTGTTCCCTCCTCGATCTCATCAAGCCTTTCCTTGCTGCTCCATTTTTGTCCATGGGAGTAACTGTGGGAACGGTTCTGATGTGGCAAACTGATTATGTTTATTTTGCGACGAGAATTCATGATACCGGAACTTCATTGCATACCAAAATGAGCGAATAAATAAACTTGTATGATTCTTTACAAGGGCAAGCTCATATTATACGGGTTTCGTTGTGCGATTTTTCTCCACTCGCGTTATTCCGCATCCCTTTGGGTTTAAACAAAAGCTAGGTTAAAGCGTAATCGCTGTACTTTACTGAACGCTGCTCGAAATTTATTGTAATTAGAGAATTTTTTGCCAAAACAAAGTGCACGTATTAAAAAACACTCTATTAATAGGGTAGTAGATCCGCTTTTAGCATTCCATTATCACTTCAGATGTTCGCATGCTTATAGTTTACCAAATAAGTTGTTAATGAAGAAATGTACATTTTCTTTATCGTTTTTTTTAAATATAATTTGTACAACAACCTGACTCACCGTATAGGACGCCTTTGTTTCTCTATCCAAATTCACCTTAGTTCGAAGAGTGAATTGCCGATAGGAAGGGAAGAGAAAGGAGGAAGTGGAAGGAAAAATGGATGAAGAGGTGATGGAGTGTCTGAAATTCGTTAGAACGGACCCAGTAGAGTCGCTGCTGCTAGAGAAGGGATTTATCTCAGTCAGGCGGAAAGCGTCCACTTCAGAGGTGATGCGACAACTCAACTGACCCAAGTTGGAATCTGCATCTGTGACATGCACCTCCGCCACAATGGATTCGGGTGCCGTAATCACCTCAGGCAATGCTAAGCGATTTGAGGCAAGGCGTTTGCCCTCTCGCAAAAAAACAATGTTCGGCCCCTGGTCGTTCACATTTATTATGTCAACATTAACCTCTGCCCGTGAGCTCAGTGGAGGTTGGCCATTATCAGTGGCAGTGATGTGAAATTTCAATCGTGGCGGTAACTGTTCCGCATCCAGATACTCAAGTAAGTGAACTGACGCGATGTAGAATGAGCCGGGTGTGCGTCGAGTTTGAGAATATCTGCTCATCACTTCCGACGGTGGAAGACTATTTTGTAGAGCGACTCGAAATAGACTACTGGCCTTGTGAGTTGGATCAAATATGGTGAGAAAAACTCTTCCATTCTCTCCTGCATCCATATCCGACACTCTAAACTGAAGAACCTTTCGAGGAAGGGTATTTTCTTGAACCACCGCACTGTAAGACTTTTCATCAAACTCCGGTGCATTGTCATTGATATCACGCACTCGAATGAGTATGACGACACTTCCTGTAAAGGGGCTTCCTCCATCCCTTTGACCCCCGTCTATCGCCTCCAGGACAAATTCATAAATTTCTTCAGTTTCTCGATCCAAAGGGTATACAACGTTTAAATAGGGATGGCCAGTTTTCATATAGCCAAGGGTGGGGCTTCGACTTATTACTTCATCCTCTTGATCCGTCATTGTATTCAATTGGAAGTGAGAAGCATTTCCTTGAATCCATCGAGCAATTCGGTAGTCCATAACTCCGAAAGGTCGGCTATCAACATCGATAGCTTCGGGAAGGGGAATCCTCTCACCCACAGGTAGATCTTCTGGAATAGTGGCAAATGGCGACTCTAGGTGAGGAAAGGTGGGAGCGTTGTCATTGAGATCCTGAACAGCCACTCGAATGAAGAAAACCTGCGTGGGACTGGTAGGGCTCACAACAACGTTAATATGGAGTAGTTGGCAGCAGTGATAGATCGGACAGTCGCCACTATTTAGAGCACCGCTAAGATGCTGATTGAGGTCGAAGACTCTCTGCTTCTCGCAGATCTCTTCTCTATCAAGTGGTCGGGCGACGATAATACGGAGGTCTTTAAGCGCAAATGGCCAAAAAAGGTCTTGTTGTCCTGCATATGCTGTCACGTTGACCATTTGACCAGGATCGAGGACACGTAGCAGATGCTCTCTGAGATCGTACACCACAGTACCTAGTTCGCTGTTCTCCAGAATGCTCACCGACTCTACCAATTGGCTCCGAACAGAGTAGAAGGCGACCAGCAGAAGGAAGGCCAATAATTGGGAAGTTCTTTTTGAAACCATCCTATGAAGCTTGGTAATAGATTAGTGAAAGCTACAAAAAAAGGATGTGGAATGCATAAATGGGCTTCATACGTTTATATTACATCTTAAGGGAGGTGATAATACCCTGGTTTATTGGTATGAAGCAATATTCTTAAATATTTTGCAGAGAAGTAAGTAAATTTTCTACCATAAAAATCTTAGAGGAAAACATTTGGGATTTAAGCGCACTACTAATTCATGAGTTTACGCATAAAACCAGCGAGTGTTTTTGAACGTATTTAGTCTGTAATTGAAATTCTGCACATTCAGAGATGAGACGATTTATGGCGGGAGTGAATGCAAAGAGCAGCGTTGCATTTCTGTTCAAAGCACTTTTACCCAAAGAAAAACCTTTTATAAATCAAAGTAAACCGAAAGATGTTCACTATGATCGGGGGCCAGCATTTTACCTTGGCCTTTACCTTCCCTTAAGCATGTTGTCTGAGTGGCGTGACTCATCAAAGTTTCGGCTTAGGCAACCGCATAAAGTGAACGAGAAAGTCATACCACAACTCCAGTACTCGAGTAAGCTTTCAGCGAAAGAGAAATATTTCAGTATCGTCAAAACTGCCATGCTAAGCCTCTCATAAGTGATTAAGTATTAGCCCGACTAAGTCTGGGACTTTGCCCAACTTCGGACCAAGCTCGCTCTGCTACGATAGCCTTTACTACAGCTTCTATCGTATTTTTGATGAAAAGGAGCGGCGGTAAATGACCACTAGTAAGAAAAGACTTTTGAGGCTTTTTGATGCATTGTAGGCAATGAAGTGGTTGTAAAACCTTTAAAAAATTTCGAGGACAGGATCTACTAGTTTTTATACACGAGGCTGGTAAAGCTAGAATGGAGAATTCAGAATAGAAATACATGAAAATAAGCAAACAAATCATGGGTAACGAGATTTTTATTTCTAATTAAAGTGAGTTATAAAAAATTGGTTTATTTCAACCCCTATTTTATCCCATGAACATAAACTTTGAATAACTTACGTAGCAAAAAGCAAGATTTTAAAATAAAACAATCCCTCTATTATCATGCCTACAGCCGTAATGTTTTGCAAAAAGAGAGGCTCAGACAGTGCTGGCTCTCGTAAGCGCCACTCTGCCGTGGAGCGCTATCAAAAATGGGTCCGTGCGGAATGCGATACAGCGTATCGGAATGTATATCACTTGCACCGCTGTCATTTAAACGCATACCATAATTACGGTTTTGAAGTAGGTAGTTTAAAACTCTGTGTCATTTTGTTTTCTTTTCGGCAAAAAATGATCTAAGCCAATTCCTCACAGTCCCAAGGGCTGATTTGGCAGGAGAAGATGAATCTGCTCAAAGGGAGCCGCGATGTTTGGAACTTCTTCAACCTTAATGTTTTAGCCGACAGAATAGCATTTTTTTATGCTACGGCCTGATGGAAAGATACAGTTTTTTAGACCCAACACGCATGAAAGGTGCCTCATTAATCTGATAATAAAATGGTCTTCCATTACTCTCGCGTGAGTGGGTAAAAATTATTTTTCCTTCATCTGGATTTAGCAGAAGATGGTCGTTGCGGATTTAATGGAAAGGAAACATCTCTCTCCCTTATCGGTTTGTCACCAGCAGGAGCTGTTACATGGCCTTCACATCCATGCTCCTAATTTACTGCCAGTGGTATTTTTAATCAACAATCTTAAAATTTAACCACGTAACCACTTTGTTTTAAGTTTGAGCATTTAAATTTCTTCTCCTGCGCTAAATGCTTCACCAATCTTTTACATAAGCAGGTGGGAGAAACCTTAAAGTGACTGGGCTATTAAGCAGGGGAGGTTTGTTTAAAACTCTAGCATCTGAAATAAGTCCATTCCTTCACCTGTGTAGTAAAAAACTTTTGCAACACCATATTGTGACGTTTCACTTACTCAAAATAACTCTCCAAGAATTGGTCCAAATGATTGGTCTTGGAGAAACTCCAAATATTGCTACATGGTTGAGGCATCTTATTCCCATCCCAAATGCCAAGGGTATTGAGCAAGGAATTTTCCTGACTTAGGATTTAGCATTGTAAAAGAAAGACCAGTACAAATTCCGTCTGGTTCTGGTTGTCGCAAATGGTACTGACGGGAATGGATTGAAGATTGTACCCCAATTTGAGCTTCCAATCAGTCAAACTATTATCAAGTAAAATAAATGGCATTTTAACTCGACACATTTATTGTGCAGATTTATGTCAACCGAAAGTCCTAATTCTGAACCCTTCTAGTGAAGCCGCTTCCGTTACGATGCTAAGCATACTTAAGCATCAAATTAGCTTCTCCGTGAGCGAAGGAGTGGGTACACAAGGCGAACAGTACAGTGGAGAGCAAAGAATTACATTGCCTTAAGTAAGTGTATGTTTCTAAACGTAGCACGTACAAGCATACGGCGCTCTAGGGAGGAGAGATAAAATCGCAGAGAAAGGTGGAAAGTAGCAAATGAGGACTCGTCTCAAAGCCAAAGGCGTCCATGACTTTACGCACCTTTTACACTCATTCCCATCAACTCCTCCCTTCCTCTTCTGGAAATTAAAGAGTGAAAAAGCTGATAATTTGATGTTTAATGCATGAATTGCCTATTAATTAGATCCAACTATTTTCCTTTAAAGTTTACAAGTTGGAGGATGCCGTCACTTGCTTTTGCCTACGCCAAGAGGGGAGCGCAGTGTTAGAGGTTGGAGAATTTTTACTCTTGATTATGCCTACCAGAAGGAGTTTTGGGGCTTTTTCTCGATTTCAAAACAAAGTAACAATTTTCGAATTTCATTTACACATTCCATACAGTATCGTGCATAGCAGAGAAATTTACTTATGTCCATTGTGCAAAGCAAGGGATTATAAGGGTGAGCAACGAACAAAAATAGTAGAGCTGCAACTGTAATAGCCATTCGTTGGTTTGGTGACTCAAAGGACCACAAATTTGGGACCTGTTAAATACCAGAACGGCAACTATGGCAATTTTACAAAACCTGAAATAAGAAAAAAGCAAAAGGAGTCACTAACACACTAGTGCATGCACACTCTTGCTTCCTCGTTCGGTCTGTCGGGCTGTCGCGCTCTGCCTCGCGCCCATGACTGGCGACGCTGGGGAGCGTTTATGACAGCAATTAGCGAAATTAAACGCAAAAACACATACTCACCCCTGTGAATTAGCTCGTTTCTTTATTTCTTATGCTCTTTAATTAAACTTCCAAGGTTACATGCAATTCTACTTTGCATGGCACCTTGACTGTCGTACGTCCCTAGCAGTACCACTACCTCACATCCTCAACCATTGTGAACTCCATATTTTTTTGTTCGTTGCATTGTTTTTTGTGCTGGTTTTTATGTCTTGCAGTTACGGCGTACAGGAGAACAATGATGGTCACCGTGATTGCGGTCGTACCTCAGCCACAAAGCGCGTGTTTCAAAACCACCTAACAGGAGTTTTTTGAGGGCTGTACAACAGTATGTGATTGAAGAAATCAGATTTTTTGAAAAATGGACTCAGCAATTTATTTTCTTATATTGTGGAGGCTTTCACCCTACCATATGCCTGTTACAAGATCTGATTGGAGCGCCTTATCTCCAAGAGTTGATGACAGAAGTTTGTGACAGGAGGGTCGGTCAATCGCATCCAATACCTCTCACCAATCGTAAAACAACAAAGCACTTTTGCATCTAAGGTACTAATTCTATTTATACTTCAGCTGTAACACTACACAGAACAGGACTGTTTACCACTGCTTAAACAGGACCACTAGACGGTGGTAAAATTTTTTTAACCTATCCACAACTTACCAATGGGATGGAATTCATAAAAGTCCCTTGATTGATATACAGAACTTTTACGAGGTTTGCGATGCATCTTAATATCACAGTGACCTTAATGATTGCCTGTTTGGGGAATGTTTTGATGGCTGCCATTTAACCCTTCTTTCGACTATAAAAGGGTCGAATTCAGGTGGAACCTGCGACGTCACGAATGCATATCAGACAACAATAGCAAAAGTTAACTCTTCTTTATCAAAAGTGCGAACATTTACTTTTTTTGCCTTCGAAATGGCTGCTGTCATCTGTGTTTTTAAGCTCTCCCATCTCTGATAGCGACGTTAAAATGATGCTAAAAGATGCTTCAATACGTTCCGCTTTTTATGTTTTCAGGCGTCACACTCTTCCATTAATCTCAATCTGTTTCCTCATTTTCTGCTTTACGGCTGAGAACAACGAGGCTAACATCCTCTCAATTAAATCCAAAATCATGAATGGGATCTTCACAACCGAATTTAGTTTCAATGGATAAATTCATCAAGATTAAAACCAACTCCACGAAAGTTCGTGGTCATATTACTTACGCCTGGAGAGTGTGAAATAGTGTGGAAATTTTCTCATACCACATGCAACCCTTTGAATGCTTGCTTCCATCGAAAGAGCCCTTCTTCATGCTCCAGAAAAATTGGAAATAAACAACGATTCTCTTGATTGTAAAATAGAAATGGTTAACTTTTCATTTTTAATAATATGCATGGTTGCACCCAACAGCAGTGCTGGCTTACATCGGCTCCTATAAATAGTCACAAAAAACGGACACATAAAACGACCCGCAAGGTCCAGCACCCACACCCCCATACACGCACACATTCACACAACTACAGACAGGAAGGGAGCAGTGAAAGTGCCTTCAAATGGTCGTAACCGAGCGACACGGTGCTTCGGTTGTTTCCGCTGTCAAATGCTCACAATCAGAGCATTGAATTCGATCGCACCAGTAACACAATGGAATCTTGACAGAACTCTGACCATGGAAGTACAGCCAGTAACTTTCAAGGTCTAAGTAATTTCACTACTGAGGCCATTCCTGCAATAAAACCAAGGGGTGCATCCCATTTCAACAATCGTGTTTAGCAAGAGTGGCTGAAGACCCCAAAATGCGGCAACGCTATGCGACCTTATATTTGGTGCTGCTTTAGCCTACTTTGAATGCTTAGGTCGGC